GGGGGGGTTATTATTATTTTGTGTTCTTTTTGTGTGTGTGTGTTTTTTTGCTTTTGAAATAGCAGGGTAAAAGTGACTTACTGCTTAGCAGTTTTGCTTCTGCCCCCCAGGGCTCTCAATATCACGAGGAAACTGGTTAGAAATGTATTCCTTTCCCACTGATGCTGTTAAACCAGTATATGAGGAGCATTAGGTAGGTTTGAGCTTTCTGGAGATGTAAAAATTCCTTTTTTGGGGGAAAAAACCCAAGCGGTTTGTACAATGATGTGTGCTTAAAAGTCCGTTGTGGTCCTCCTCCAGAAAGCAAGGTGACAGGACTAGCTCTTCCCAAATTAATGCCTCTTTTGAACTCCAGAGGTAGTTTTGCCATCCATTCAAGCTAGAACCTGAGCAATCGAATAAATGCAGTTTGAAAAAAAAAATTTTTCTAGCACTCTACCAATCCAAAAACCATCAAGATGCAACAAACCTGGGGCACATCATTATCTTTCAAAAGTAGAGTGATGGTAGAATTAAAACCACATTGAGGGATGCGTATAAAGATTGTTTTATTACTATTATTTTTATTTTTTTATCCCCAGATAGTTGTGTGTTGCTCTGGATTAGGGGGGAATTGTGGATGGAAATCGTAGGCTTATAGGGCTTTGCCTTGCTGTCGTGCAGCGAGCGTGCTGCACCAGCTCAGCCGTCGGTGCGGGATGCTAAAAGGGATCACCAAAAGTAGACGAGGTTTTTGCATCTATCTGTATGGGAGGTTTCTCAGCCTTGGCGCTGCTTTTTTTTTTTTTTTTTTTTTTTAAAGGCTTATTAGACAGAGCCATCTTAGTATTGTTTCTTACTTAATGCTTGATGTCGAAGTCTGGGAATTTGGAGCATTATTGATTTGACCTCTTTTAAATTTCAGCAGCTTCACAAGAGACAGAGTGAGTTAGTAAGGAATGCAAAATATGTAAGTAATATATATTTTCCTAGCTGAATAGCTTAGGCATATACATTTTTTGCACCTTGTGTCTTCTTACCAGAGTAAGGAAGGTTGGACCGTCTTTGCTTTGTGGGACTCTTTCTCTTTTTTTCCTTTCTTTCTCCTCCCTGCTTCACCTTCTCCAAGCTGTGGGCACAACACCAGCTCTGCTTTCTCCTCCTCGTAGTAGGTGTGCATTTTCTTGGCTGGTTGGTATCTCTGACTGGGGGTCTCTTGGTATTTTTATTTTTTTTTTTCCTCCCTATGTTACATAGCAGATCTGGGGATTATTTTTTTTTTTTTTCCATAGTGGGGAAGAGAATAAATCAACCAAGTTAAATCTGATGAACCTGTAGCTGCTATGCAACTTTGTCTTGTGTCGTAGATGTTAATGCTAAATCGCTGCAGCGGGAATGTCGGATACGTACGATGCTTCCTGGCGAGCGTAGATTAATTTGGGAGCATTACATTTAGCTCCTGAGCGCGGGGCAAATACTGATCAGCAGAAATTTAAAAAAACCAAACAAACAACCCTAAACTCTGCCTAGCAGCCGTGTAACTGTCTGCAAGTGAATGTGTGCCCTTCCAACCCGTCACCGCCTGATTAATGTACTTTTTTTTTTTTTCTGTCTTAGACCCTTCGCAGATGCTACAGCCGCGTGAAGGAGCATGGTGTTGGGAAGAGGAAAAGCAGCTACACGTTTGAACAGCTAGAGCAGGTATTTGGGCAGGGAGGATGGGATTCCCAGCCCTGCCAGCCCGTCCTCATCAACAGCAGCGGCTTGTACCAGGAGCTGGAATCGGACGGCAGCACGATGGAGGAGTATTCCCAGGAAGACTGGGGAAACCACAGTCAGGATCTTCATTGCTACCAGACTGGCGAACAGGAATTGGGTAAGAAATCTCGTCTTGGTGCATCTCCATCCTCCGATTTTCTTTTTTTTTTTTTTATTTTTTAACCTGTGCTCGTACCAATGTCACGCATACGTATCTTGGTAGGAGGAAAGAAGGGCTTTGTGGCCAGAAACAGTGGAGCAGGAGGTGACATGTTCCCTGTTTCCTCTCCCCCAGGTCAGTTTTACTTCCCCTCGTGGGATTAGGAAGATATTTTCCATTTCAGTGATACCCTGCTTTGGAAGTCCTGGGGCACCAGCTGAACCTGTGCGCTACTGTTCAAACATGATTTGCTTAAATTATGAACAGGTCTTCAAACTGCTGCTATTAATATCAACAACTATAAAAAAAAAAATTTTGTTCCTTCTTCCTATGTACCTTAACCGGTGTGGTGTTTTTTTTTTTTAAATTGTAAATATGCTGATATCCGGATATGTGGCCTTTTTTAATTAAAAAAAAAAAAAAGCAAGCAAGCTCACACTCCAGGATTGAGACCTAAACCAAGCTTCTCCACCTGCATTTTTTTGTCTGAATTACTGATGTCTCTGCATAAGAATCAATATATTTATTTGGAGGTTTGGTTGTTGCTTCTGGCTTATTGAACTTTGCTAAACGGAGTGAGGTACCACATTCTTGATTGTGAACGCAGACTGATCTGAGCAGCTTTGTGAAGAAGTGGGTTTCTTTAAGCATTTTTATCTCTCTTGAGCCACCGATCTTGCCTGAGCAAGGGGGTTATTTCACGGTGGAAACTTCGAGTCGATGAATTCAATGGAGACCCAAATGAAGCATGGATAAAGGCTCTTGGTGTGACAAGGTTTTTGTTTTTTTTTCCCCCTCTCATGATTTGTAGGATGAAACAGGGAGAGGAGATGCAGTCACGTATCCGTACACATCTGTGTTCAGGGGACTGGTGAATTGGGCTGCTTTGAAAGAGGTTTAAATCACAGTTTAACGTTAAAATTTGCAAGTTGACCGTTAACTGCGTTCCGATTCGCTCCGACTTCTTCCCCAGGGGATTTAAAAGTCAGAAATGTGTGGGAGAGAAATGGTGGGGAGAAGACAACGTTACAAAACGTATGTAAATAACGGTGAATTCTGTCTTGTTTGGCTCGTTCTGGTGAGTCAAATTGTGGTCTCCTGGTTTTGTCACCGTTTTCCTTCAGTCAAATCGGAGACATTTGTGCGCACTTGGGCTGATGATATTCTTAATCTTCAGAGAAGTTATGAGAAAAGGACTTAGCACACAACATCTAAATGGAATACAGATGCATTTGTTCTGGTCCTTGCTCCTCTAAAGTGCCACTGAAAGCAGAAGAGCCTTTTTTCTTTCTTTTTCCTTTTTTTTTTTTCTTCCTTAAACAACATCGTTTGTGATTAAATTGATTTGTGATTTAATAGCAGGAATTCTAGTCTTGTGCTTGGAGGGTTTTGCACCTGCAGAGAGAGATTCAGATCTTAACTGACGACGTCTCTCCCAAGGGAAAAAAAAACCCCACTATTCAGTTACAGAGGATTTAGGAACTGGAGCTATCTCGTGCAGAACTCTAATGGACTGCCTGGCTTAGGAAGCAACTCCAATTTATTATTTCTTTAATTTCAGCTGTTTTTTAAAAAAAAAAAGCCCCAGGAACATTATTTAAAATATAATTATGTGTTGGAATTTTACCTTTCAGATGAAATGCCTACCACAAAAAGAACATTAAAGATAAAACAGGAATCTTCAGAAGACACGCAGTAAGTAATTTATGAATGTTTTACCCTGGAATGTATTTCCCTGGGGATGTTGTGCAGGAGGGGAGGATATTTGAAACTTCTGATTATAATTATAAATACATTGTGCAAGACTATTCATACAGTTGAATCTGCTTTATGCATTATTCCAGTTACCTCAGAACATCTGAAAAGCTTCACAACTCTGTTTCTTCTTGGCTTCGTCATTCAGCAAACGAAACGAGACTTACTACAGGAATGCAAGGATCTAAAATGCGGATAAAATACACTTCAGATTCATTAGGGATATGTGTGGGCTGGCTGCGGGTATTGTCACGTGAGGATGAACTCTTGGATCTATTTGTAATCTGGTTTTTTTGGTTGGTTTTGTTTTTTTTTTTCTTTCCCCATTTGCCTGAAGTTTGCCCCTTTGGACGTAAGGAAATAAAAGAGAATATAGGAGGAGTGGAGGAAAGAAAGAGTGAGAAGCGGGACGCAGCACCCTGGTAGTAGTGTGTACTGTTGGCTTGGTGTGAGTAATGCTTGCAAGAAAAGTTCATGCATTTCCCTTCCTTGGTGGGAAGGCATGCCAAAGCTTGTGATTTTTTATTTTATTTTATTTTTTTAATTATTTTTATAACTTTCCAGAGCTGACTTGTAACCTTTTGGATTGGTTTAATCTGACAAATACTGGAGCATTTTGAATGCTTTGAGCATGTGAATCTCCCTTGCCTCGCCAACAATAACACAAAGCATTTTGAAAAATGAAAGGAATTGCGTTGTATTTGACTCAAACCAGGGCTACTTTCTTCCAAGCTTTAGGGTTTTAAAAACCTACAGGGTGATTGCAGATCTGTCTGCAGTGAGAATGAGCCATCGCAAATTGGCTCGCAGACCCTTCTGGGTGGGTTCCACACATGAGCTCCTCCGCCAGTAGTTTGTCGTATCATCTGAAGTCAATCTTGTATTCCCTGTGTTGGAAAACGAGCTTCTGTAGGGTAGGAAGTCATCAGCACAGTAGACATTAACATGGTGTGCCTGGTTAATAATACAGCAGAGGCTTTTTACTGTAACTAAATGGAAAAAAAAAAAAAAAATCCTTCAAAACCTAAAAAAAAAAAAAGCACCTTCCATTGTAACGGTCTAGCTTCATCAGACTCCTCACTTCAGATGGATTTTCACAGTACCCAAAGGTGACTTTTTTTTGTTAATGTGGGGCAAATTCAGTTTAGCGACACAGAGATGACCTGGAGAAAAATAACTTTTATTCAGTATAAATATTATTATTGCCTCTTTGAACAGTTTCTTAGGGCTGTTCTGGGATAATTTTACCTTTCAAGGCGTGCTTTAGGGAATTGCATAGAAAATAATCTTGAATTTTTCCAAGACAGAGGCTCCGACTACCTGAATTTTCTCTTCCAGGTTTTGGTGTGTAGGTGGACAGCTGGATTAGATTTGGTAGATTAGACTTTTCAGAGTTTTGTGGTCATTTTTTTTGGTGTGTTTTAAACACACCCCCCGGCCCAAGTTCCCTCTAAAATGCGCAGAAGTCTCTGAACTCTCAGGCATTTCATGAAGCGTGCAGGTGATAAGCCCATCCTACATGCTTGGTGGAAACACAAAGCATCTTCCAACGCAGATTTGCTGAAAACTACATTTTTATTTTTTTTTCCCCCGACTATAAGAGCAAGGAAATTTTAAACTCATGACTTAGTAGATTAAAAGCAGTCAGGGGAAGCATGACTGATGCGAAAATAGGCTGGGTATTTATTTATTCTCTTCAAAAAATAGAATTGTGTCTATTCTTACAAGCCGCAGACGATAAATAGAAGACAAACTTTTTCAGCTCTTTAGCCAGCGTTTTAAAATACATATAAATTATTTCAAAGAAGGTAGGGCTTCAGTTCATTCTGCATTCTTGGTCAAGTGTGGATTTTCAGCAGAAATAATCTGAATAAAATCGGAGGGAGTGGCGGTGCATTCAGATTCTTTGCTGGGATTTTTTGACATGGAGAAATTGCAGTGTGGTGATGCCGGACTATAAGCCACGTATATTGCGAAAATCTTGTCTTTGCTTCCTCCTTTCCCTCCTCTGGGATTTTTTTTGAAGGATTTTTTGGAGCTAAGCAGCTTGCGGAAAACCACGGGAGCAGACGTGCACCGTGACATTATTTTCCTAGCAGAGGGGGTAGGAGAGTGCCACCAAGATGCTTGCTTATAGGAAACGTATCGCTGAGCTCTCTGACCACTGGATTTTATTCTGGCTCTTCTTTTCGCGATAAAACACGCACGCGTGAGGCTGCTGTCCCTATCGAATGACCACAAACCTGCTGAAATAGAAAGAGTTTGCTTTATTCCCGCTGCCTGCGAGGGGTTCAGCTGCTCCTGCCGGCTCGACCAGCGCCGGGACCTGATCGTGGACCAACAAACCTAATGCCTTGTATCTCCAAGCAAGCTGCATGGCACGTTAACACGGACAGCGTTGCCTCTTTTAGCTTCAGGTAGTAAATAACTGACCTCTAAAGACATAGAAGGACTTCCCGTATTTCCTGAGTTGCCTTATTTTCGGTGGTGTAGGAAGCAAAGAGCGGTAGGTAAGCTGCATGGCCGGGTCCCGTGGTCTTGTCAGCTGGATGCTCCTTCCCCGCATCGGCAGTTGGCATGCTGCTGCCTCCAAATAAACTGCTTTGAAAAGTGGCACACTACTTAAGACTCCGTTCCGCTCTTTGAAATTTAGTTGAGGAATGGTTTTATTCGCTGCAGGTTTTGTGAAGATGAACTAGAAAATGCTTGGGGAGCCGAGTCCTTCACTGAAACCAGCTGTTTCAGCCTCTTTGAAGTCTACTTTTGTTTGGAAAGAGCGCCTTAGAACGAATTTGCACCACGGCTTGTCTCCCGTCTTTCCTCATTTGAATTGTAAAAGCTTCTGAGGAGAAAGAAATGCGGATGGCCGGTCTCCAACAGGGAGGTGGTGGTTTGAGGACAGGGTAAAAATCCAGCTCTAGGGCACCTTCTGCAGATGAAAAATGAGATTGTCCTGTGATGCACAGCACTGACACAGGGTAAACCCTCTGCTACCTCAGATTTTTCTATTGAAAAATAAATAATTGTAACAATTTTGATTCTTATTGCTTGTAATACCTCTGCTTGGCCAAGTCATGGAGGTGCTGGCTAGAGCCGGGGAAAGCGAAGCTCGACGGGGCGGCTGCTGAGCCACCGAGTCCTGGTGTCAGTGGGAAGAGGAGATGCTAAAACTGAAAAGCAGACCTTTTTAAAATTTCTTTTTTTCCGCTATTGCTTCTTCTGTGCTCGAAGTGGAAAGCCCTTCTCTCCCGTACGCGAAGAGATCATCTCTAGTGAAATTATTCCTCTTCCCAGCAGGAACAGTTTGACGAGTGACTAATTTTTTATTTTTTTTTTCACCAGAGCTTCAGCTCTATTTTGTACTGAACTAAACTTAGCGAGAGTATTTATAGTGTAATTAATAAAGGTGGGGGCTTTTTTTTTTTTTAATGTGGTTCTTAGCTCTGTTCCTCCACTGTTGAATGAAAATCTGCCCACGCTGCTTTCTCTTGTCTCTGGGTTTGGATGGGAGTGTGTTCTTTAAATTGAGTTCAGCTGTCTGTCTTGAGTTAAACGAGTGTATAAGAGCAGTGAAACACAGACTCCATGCTACCGAACAGCCCTGCGCCGAGCCAGCGCTTACCGTGTCCTCTTGTCTGTCACGTCCCCAGAAGGTGAACTTGCACTTCCAAAAATCTAAATAAAAAAAAAAAACCACAACCACAAAACCACAAACCTTGCTTTTTTCCAGGCGTAGCAATGCCGCGCTGCTCGGCGTCTGAAGAAGCATCAGGGAAGCCGTAGAGCGACTTTGGAACAGTTCGGTATTAGAATCATAAAATCGTTTCGGTTGGAAAGGATCTTGAAGGTATCGCCGCGGTGTTTGTATGTAAAATACTGCTGCTAGACGGGGAAATGGAAATGACTCCTCAGAAGTAACTTAAAATAAAAAAACAGGAGTTTGTTGACGATGTGGCAGGCGTTTTTTTAAAACCCCCTGGCTCAAACACAACTCCGCTTGCCAAGCAGGTTCCCTCCTCGGTGCTCTAGAAATTCAGTTACGTTCTGATCGTGGCAGAGATGCGCTTGCCAAAATGCTTTTTAAGGTCTAGCCAGGAATTTTTCTGGCATGATTGCTGATGGATGCGGTCCCTCCCGTCGCCGTGAGTGAGTGATCTCAGCCTGGACTGCTCGGACCTGGTTTAGGGAGCTTGGACACCCCACCTGAGGTTTGTAGAACCTGGTGTGCGCCGACCATCGTGCGTCAAACTGCTCGACACGGAGCTCTGGGGTCGCAAGCCCAGTGCCTTCCATCTGTCCCAGAAGGACAACCAGCGCTTGAAGAACCTTCCCTAAAATCATGTGCGTTGTGTTTACACCTATAAAAGCAGGTTTTTTTGAGATGAGAGGCTGTGAGGTTGGACTTCTCCAGCACCATGGGAAGGGTCTGCAGCTCCCAAACATTTTTTTTTTTTTTTGCTCTGAACCCCTCTATCAATATGATGGAAGAAGAGACCTTCTCATCCATGTAGGAATTTATTGAGTGGAAATGCAGCTGCCAGAATCTCAACCCCAGGTGTATCTGCTCTTGCTTAAAGACCATTGTGTCCCTCACCAGTCTCATGCTTAACTCGGTCAGGGAGCTGTTGGGAAAAGCTGATGATTTATTTTTTTTTTAGGGAGTTTAAGGGATCTTTGTGAACGCAGCGAAGGAACCCACAAGAGGAGGGAAGTTTGTGCGTGACCCCGCAGAAGAAAACTGGGGTTGCCTGGTACGGGGACCGAAGATGCAGGATGTTCTCCTGGTGGGATGTGGGAGGAGAAAAGATGCTCTTGGGGATGTGGTGACCCCTGTACGATCGCAGTTCGGCTTTCGAGATGCAGCGCAACATAGAAGGGAGGAGAATTGCATTGGAGCAAGCTTTTGAATCCCGTTTGTTGGACCAAGAGAGATTTCTCGATTACCAAATGAGTCACATTATCTTCCTACAGCTTTGATTATAGGACAATAACTCCTAAAATTAGTAGTTTTCCTTACGAGCTAATTACACCCTAACTGGCTCATTCATCCTGGAGGAAGCTGTTCCAGCTTGCTTCAGGCACACACAAATGCTCGCTCCTCATGGCTTCGTAAAGCGTAAATCCCTCCGTGGAAACTCCCTTGGATGCCGGTGTCGTTACCTGAGAGTGAAAAGAAACTTTGGGAAATGTGAGGATTTCTTTATTGGATAATCCAGAGGGATTTCCGCTGTCCGTCCCGCAGCAGGTTATCCTGTCGGTTGTGTCTGGGCGCAGGTCATCTTCAGCATCTTCTGCTTCGTGGGGTCGGTTCCTTAAGCCGTGTTTCTGATCCAGCGCTGAGACCGAGCCTTTCGGAGTAGCGTGGCATGCTTGTTTTGTGTTTTTTACAATTACAGCTCTGTTTGGTGGTGTTAATTTTGGGGTAATGATGAGGCGGAAGCGTTTTAAGGGACGGTTGCAAATTAGGGATGAAGCTCCGGTCGTCCGTGCCGGACCGCGTGCCGATGGGAATGCGCAGCTGTAAAGAATAACCCGGTAACTGAGTTTGCATTTATTTAGCGGCACCGGGACACGTGTGTGTTTGCAATTACTTTGAAGCAGCATAGGTAGGAGCAGGACATTTCCATCGTGTGGGGTTGTTTTTTGGGGTTGGTAAGAGCAGAAATCTTGCTTGGAAACTGAACTTGGGGATTCATCAGCTCTCACTTTCTTTACTGGGTTATCTCCCGCAGGACTTTTTTTGCATGAAATCTCGTTTCCAGAAGAGACTGTAGTTTGCTTGAGATATTGGAAGGAGTTTGGGTTGGGTTTTTCTTTGGTTTTGCTAAGAAAAAAAACCCCACCCCAAAACATCAGGGTGATGTTCTAATCAAGAAACACACCTAGCAATATAGGACATACATAGGAATAAAATATCCACCGCCTAAAAAGCAACCGAGAAAGCTGAAAGGGATTAATATTTTCCCAAAGGTCGATGCGTTCACAAGGATGGTTTTGCAGCTCTAGTTTACTGATGCCTTTATCCTTCTCTCCATGTTTTTTGTTTTTTGTTTTTGTTTTTTTTTTTAAATTTCCAGGAAGCGCCACGTCATGCAGAATATTATGCAAATCTTGGAGTCGGTCCAGTTGAAGTGGGAGCTGTTTCAGAGCTGGACGGACTTCTCCAGGCTCCATCTTTCTAACAAACTGGCCATTTTCGGCATCGGTTACAACACCCGCTGGAAGGAGGATATTCGTTACCATTACGCGGAGATCAGCTCGCAGGTACCCCTTGGCAAGCGACTCCGGGAATATTTCAACTCGGAAAAACCAGAGGGTCGGGTTATCATGACCAGAGTGCAGAAAATGAACTGGAAAAACGTTTATTACAAATTCCTGGAGATCACCATCAGCGAAGCCAGATGCCTGGAGCTGCACATGGAGATCGACTGGATACCCATCGCTCACTCCAAACCCACCGGAGGAAACGTCGTTCAGTATTTATTACCGGGAGGGATCCCCAAAAGCCCCGGGTTGTACGCCATCGGTTACGAAGAGTGCCACGAGAAACCCCCGTCCCCTCTCGCCGAACACAGGGGTCCCGATCCCGGCAATGAGACTCAAGGGGAGCTGGAGGTCCCTTCGCCGCAAGCTTCCCTCCGGTTGGATATGGAATCTGCCCGGATTATCTACTGTTACCTCGGCATCGCCGAGGTCCGGACTCTCCAGCAGTGCCTGTTTTTACATTTTCAGGCAAACACCAAAACCTTCAGCAAAGATTGGGTCGGAATCAACGCCTTTTTATCTCAGAACTGCGTCGTAGAGCCCGGCGTGTCGCCCAAATCCATCTACATCAAATTTGTGGAAGTGGAGAGGGATTTTCTTTCCGCCGGCTCTTTGGTAGAGTGCCTGGAAAAAGCCATCGGATATCCCTTAAAATTTAACAACTGAGTCTCGTCCTTCATAAGGATTAGGGCTTTCGGCCCCTTTTTTTTTTCCATCTCGCTACCAGACGCTTTCGGATCCTGTCCGTTCACAGCCGGGCAAGTCGGACTTTTCCGCCTGGAAACGAGTTTTGGGGTGATAAGAGGTTTGCGGGGCGCTTTCCACGAGCTCATCCCCAAACAAGCGAGCGTGTCCCGGCTCTCTTGCCGGACAGACCGGTCGGTTTTCCTACCGGAGCGGCACGGTGAGGAGAAGCCCCCCGCACCCGGCCCGTGAAACGACTGTAGGTACATTCCACATCGGACAAGCGCGTACACGTGGTGTTTTCATACGAAAAGCTGGTTTTGGGGGGGTTTGGGTTTTTTTGTTTTTCTTTATTCCACGGTGTCTCATTTTTACGCATCCGTCTCTCTTAAGTGTTGTTACGGATCTGAATAAATAAGCAATAGATAACGGCAAGTTAAACCTTGAATCACGTTAAAGGAGACTGTTTTTTCAAAGCCACCCTTAGATACTATTGTATATAATTTAGAAGTTCACTTTTTTCACCCATCAAGTGTTCTCCTCTCTCTCTGAACAGTGTTGCCTGCAAAAAGACTTTGGTTTCTGTGATGTATTCCACTTTACTAGTAGCGTTGCCATATCCGCTTTTATTTTATTTTATTTTTTTAACATGAAAAAAATTCCTGGCCTTTTTATTTTGCATTTTATTTTTGGGGTTGTTTTTTTGTTTGTTTGT